ATATTTATATTTGATTTATAACCTGTAGTCTATACTAATTTTCCCAATTACAAAGCGGCCCTTTAAGTAAACACAATTTTATTTTCCTTCGTCCCATATCTCTCCCCCACCCTTTTTTTTTTTTTTTCCTTCCTATCCGAATTGTCTGTGGTGTGTATATGTCACCACTTAAATGTATCTTTATGTATTAGACATTCGTCGACTTTCTTTCTCTCTTTTTTAAATTCACCCCACCCACATCTCCAAAAATTCTCTCTGTTAAGGTTTCATGTCACTCCTCCTCATACTTACACTTTCTCTAAATTCTGTTTTGATTTCGGAGTTGTTTTTTTCTGTTTTCATTTTGAATTTGTAGGTCTGATGATTTGGATCGTATTTTTGATTCCAATGGAATAAATTATGACCATGGAATATTAGTGTTTAAGCTTTTTTTATATATATATATATATATATATATATATATATATATATATATATATATATATATATATATATATATGTATGTATGTATGTATGTATGTATGTGGATTTTATTTTCTAATCCAACATATTTTTTAGTGAAAACCCATATTTAAATACACACTCAATTTATTTTAAACAGTATTTTATTTTATCTACCAGTCTGCACATCTGAGAAAACTTTTTAAAGAAAATGCAACCTCCAACAGGATTCAAACCTGCATCCCCCTTTGCAGGAGAATTAATCAGATGTGTTTTGATCGCTCAGCTATGAAGAGCTTCACAATCAAGCAAGACTATTTGCCTTTAAAGCACATTCACTTGTTTAGATTTCCTCAAAAGTTATAACTTTGCAGTTTCATATAAAAAATGTAAACAATGCAATTTCTAAAGAATTAATGTTCAGGCTGGCAGATGAAATATAATACTATTTAAAATAAATGGAACATCTACTCAAATACAGGTATCCATTAAAAATGTTTAAATGCATACATACCACACAAAATGATCCTAACAAACACATTTTCTATCTATTGGACAAGGGTGGCAATTACAGATTTCTCACTACTGTCTTGTATAACCAACTGATGCTGAATATTTTCATAATTGTGCTGAGTGATTTTAAAGCTTTCATTTAATGTTGATTTCTGCTATGCATGAAACAAAGTAAAATGTCAAGCTTGACAATCACTAGCACAAGCATATTACTGCTGGTTTTAATACAATGCAAAATCTCTGGTAGTATGTACATTTCTGCAAAAGAAAAATTTTTATTACATTTTTTTTTTTAAAAATTAATCTACGTTAGCATGTTAAGAGGGTGAGTTATGAATTTTGCTGCAGCAAAGCAAACATTTTGTTCACTCTCCATGAATTCTATTTTACTATTTCCTGCCCCCACTGAAAAAAAATAAAAATAAGTTTTCTTTAAGCACATAGAAAATGTGTAATTTAGCAGTAAAAATAAAATGGGGAAAAATGGAGAGAGAGAGAGAAAAGCCAAGACTGAAGTGGAAAATCACATTCCTCCTATATTCAACATATGAACACACACACACATCATTATCCCCTTGATTTTTTTAAATTGTAGTGTGTGTGGGGTCTGAATGCAGAAGCCACACAAAATCTCCACAACAGCCTATCAATGGCAGCCATCAGCAATACTCGTATACCTGTCCATTGTTTGACATCCATATAGGAGAATGGAGACTACCAGTGATTTGTACAGTCTGTACTTTGTTTGAAAGCTGCTTTTGATTCTCCATATTCTTGCCAATTTGGTCATCGCTGCCATGGCTGCAGCAATCCATGACAACTTCAAAGTTGCAGGTATCATCATTAGACAAGATTGCTCCTAAGTATTTAAAACTGAACACTACCTCAAGTGAATTCCCATTCATGGTAATGTTGACACAGGTGTTACTGTTTGTGCTATTCACCATTACTTTGGATTTCTGAGCTGATCTCCATTCCATATGCTCCTGCTCTTTCAAAAGATTTGTTGGTCAAGTCCTGGAGCTCACTGTTACTACATGCTATGAGGTCAATGTTATATGCAAAACATAGGTTACAAATGGTTCTGCCACTGATAGAGATTGAAGGATCATGGTCATTCAAGATTTCTTGCATGATTCTCTCTAGAAATAGGTTGAACAATGTGGGTGAAAGTACGCATCCGTATCACATACAAAAACTTAACCACTTCATTAATCTTCTTGGGTAAATCAACTGTTCATTTTGATCCCTAAACCCCATGCCACTATAGCTTACCCAGATGTTCAGAGACTGGTTTCACAACATTTCAATCCTTAAATTTGCCATCATCAGGAACAGTTTGGGATCAAATCAAAGGTGAAGTTTCTGATGCTCTTAAACAATGTCTCAATACATCCCACCTTATCTCAGCTCACTAGCAAGAATGATCAGGCCTCCCAATAAAAATCCCCTTAACCAACTCATGGATCAAGGGATAATTGAGAAGGGCAAGAGGCACTACAGGAACCTCTATATGCAGCAATGACATATAGTTGAAGACAACATAGACAAACCAAGATATACAGATACCGAAGGAAAACAACCCTAGAAACTTCAAACAATACAACCTGAAGGATATGATCTAAAATTGGACAAAAGCATGGAAGAAGGTGCCTTTGAACACCCTCAAAAATACTTAGAGAAACATGCTGGACATCCCCAAAGTCACAAGTCATGATAGACTTGAAACCACTGAAATGAAAAAATATATTGGCTGCAGCTGGACAAGGAGGATGAGCTGGAAAACCAGCTGAATGAGGATGCCAGGGTACCTGGTCACCACCACTTGGCCGAAAAAGAAATTGCCAAGAAGTTACTTGGATTGCAGAGACCCAAATACGAAGAAGAGGATCTCTCTCTGGCTATTGGCATAGATGATGATGGCACCATCTTCAGTATCACCAACAAGAGAAGTGGTAATCTGATTAAACACTAAGAAATAATGTGAATTTTAAAACTGGAATTGCAACAGCAACAGAATAAATACCAGCTTAGGATATCAAGTTTTTCTCAGCTACTGAACATAAGTAATATAGTATTTAAAATATAATGTTCAAAGTTTATACACTTTCATATATATATATATATATATATATATATATATATATATATATATATATATATATATATATATATACACGTCTTGATAATTTGAAATTATGGTCCAATTCATTTCCAAAATTTGTATGACAAACAAAATCAATTTTTTTTCCTGAAATGAACATTTTTCTAATAACTGCAACATTTCCTACAAAAAAGTTTTGCTTATTATTTTTGCCTATATTGTAGAATTTCTCAATTGAATTGGGAATAATAAAACTCAAGCAGAAATAATTAATTTGGCAACCATGGACTGTCTACAATTTGTATCAATCATTCACAAACCCATCACACATTTCATGGTGTCTGAAAGGCCAAAAGATGAATTTGATAGTTTGTTTCAGTTTTTTTACTCTACAGATTTAAAAATTGAGTAATTGTAAATTCAATAACTCCAAATTCATTAAGTTTTGTTAGTAAGAGGTGCGGGGGGGGGGTAACACACAACCCAGACAGATACTGAAAAGCTCAACTGGCATAATACCCATCAAAATTGATAGCATTACTTTGGAAATTTTCTAAGCCTTGGTTATTAATACAAATTAAATTACAGTGCAGATTATACCTTCAGCACCACTTCCAAAAATACACTTAATACAAGCAAGGGGAGGTATGTACAATTGTTTTTGATATTTTATACAATTTTTACATAACATTAGTCATTTGCATGCTGTCTTTGATTTAACAAAATGATGTTCATTAAATGTAGTGATTTACAGAAATTATTTCTTTACAAAATATGGGATTTATTGGTTGTAAGGAATGCACTCTTTCTCCAATTAGCTTTTTAAATCAAGTTTTTTTTTTTCTGTATTTGTTTCATAAATCTCCCTGTCATATCACAGGTTATATAAACAAAGAATAGCAAAATAATTTGTAATGCATTTAAATACTAAAATAATTTACAATTAATTTGTTTTTGCTACTCTATGGATTTAAGAAATTAAAAATTGAGAAACTGTAAAGTTGGATCACCCCAAATTCATTAAATTTTGTTAGTAAGAAAAAAATATGCAACACAGGTATTGAAAAGCTTAACCAAGTGTTAAAAGCCAGTATTGACAACCCTGTTAGCATCTTACCCACCAAAACTGATCATTTATGTATGAAGCTTTGGAAATTTTCTAAGCTTCGGTTATTAGTACAAAGTAAATTACAATGCAGATTACACCTACAGCACGCCTTCGAAAAATACTCTTAATATGGGCAAGGAGAGGTATGTAGGTTTGTTTTATCTGATATTTTATACAGTTTCAGGTAACATTAGTCATTTGCATGCTGTCTGGGACTTAACAAAATGATGTTCATACAGAACTTACTTCTTTACAAAATACGGGATTTATCAGATTTAAGGAACACATTCTCCCCGCAATTAGTTCTCTAAATCAAGGTTTTACTTTAAATGTGATCATTAGAATGAATTAAAGTTTTATTTTGAAATCTTATTTCTAATATCACAGGTTACATAAACAGTTTGTATTTGATTTTATTACTGTTGATATTAATGTTAACAATATAAGCAGAGAAGAACAAAATCCTAAACAAGAAGTAAATAAAATAAAACTATTAGATATTTCATTGCAAGGCAAGCATAAAATAAAGAGCTGGATGACAATCAACTACAGATCAACCTGTTTGAACATTATAGAAAGAATGTAAAAGACAGGAATGTTGCCCTAAGATAACCAATGAGCTGCAATGACATCCTGTTTGGGAGTCCAAACGAAGAAAAACATTAACAAATCTTAAAGGATGGATGACAGAGAGCATTCATGAAAAGGCATCTGCAAGTAACAAAATGCAGACAACCCAGTGGCACTGATAAAGTGCATCTACAACAAGTCAATGCACTAAGTACATGGAGTGTATGTATTGGAGCCCTGAGTATACACCTCACCATATTCTAATTAATGAGGCACTCGCCTGTGCTTCATTAGGTCATAGCTAAAAGAGAAGGCCTCTGTACAATATTCACATTTGAAAGGTTTCAGGGCAAGATGTTCTTGAATGTGTGTGCTCCATTCAGCACTTGATGTGAATATGCGATCACAGTACTTGCATGAATAATGTGCACTGTGTTGACGCCTGTGTAAGGTCAATGCATAGCGGGTAGCAAATGCCTCTGTGCACATGTCACATGAGAAAGGCTTGGCAGAGTTGTGGATCTTGCGGTGTATAGCAAGCTCCACTTTAGTGCCAAATGCCTCTTCACAATTAAAGCACTTGAAGGGCTTCTCAGCTCGATGTGCTTTCAGATGAACACTCCACACATTCAAATTGTCAAAAGTCTCTTTGCAGTACTTGCACTTGTGTACCGTCTTCTTCAGGTGTGCAAGGGTGTGCTTCTGCAGTCGAGAGTTGTCAATGAATGCCTTATCACAGTAAGTGCACACAAATGACTTCTCACCGACATGGATCCGCCGATGTTTGGCTTCATTGCTGCGTGTACTGAAAGCCTTCTCACAAAATTCGCACTTAAATGGCTTCTCTCCAGAGTGAGTGCGTTGGTGCTCAAGCAGGTTACTCCGGATGCAAAAGGCCTTCTCACATTGGTCACATTGGTGTGGCTTTTCACCTGCAAGAGAGAAAAAGAAAATGTACATAGACTAAAAAATAGATTTTGAATATTTTTAAAGCTCTTCTAATAAAAAAACTCTGCTTTAGATCTAGCATATAATTGTAAAGGATAAAGCTTCTGAGTTGGCTATAAACATGAAAGAAATGGAAAAAAAAATTCACTTTCATGTTAAATAATTTTTTCTTTTATATGCATTAAATTGGACTTGTGCTATTTAAGTTAGAGATGGGCAACCTTTTTCAAACAGAGGGTCACATGATCTTTGGCTCATAACAAGGCGGGCTGCTCTACTAAAAAGATTCAAGGTAATTTTTTGTAGTAGGTACCTCAGCTTTTTTCACTACAGAATTGATTGATTGGTTGATTCATTTTCTATGGCTTATCAACCCTTTGCAGCTTATTTAAAGCCAGAAATTATTTTTAGATTGTAAGAATTTTTTTTTTTTTTTTTTGACAATAATAATATTTTATTGATACAAGTTTTAGTAATTAACTCATAGCTGGGAGGAGAAAATGTGGATTCATACCATCCCAAGTGTACCTACACATAAATAAATATAATGAACCCAATGGGAATTGGAACTCAGCTCTCTGATTTCTAATTATAGGCTATTATCCACTAAACCACCAACACATCCAATCTTACAGTATTGCCAAATAGTCATTTCAGTTTGATGAGGCTATAAGCCTTCACTACAGAAGACCATATGTGTAAGCATATACCTTACAAATGGGGGTGGGTGGGGGGTGGAAATCTTTTATTTTTGTTTTTGAGTAAAGGTTTTTCTATAATTAAAAGTACTGAAGTTTTGGTATAGTATTATCGCTGATGACAGTCAGATTAACACACGTCACTGCATGCGATTGATTTCTAATTTATTCATTTGAAAATTAAAAAAAAAAGTATATTTCTTCTCCAGAGAAAAAGATTATTATGACAATTTCCTGTTTCTAAAACAAAACATGTTTACATGTATGATCTTCCTTTGTGAAAATCGACAATAGTTTAAAATGATGAAAACATCATGTTTCACCAAAAGTTTACAAAATTTAAGAAACATTGTACTTGATCATTATTCATGTATGTCGTTGGTTATGTATGAGAAAGTGTGAGTGAACAGTTGAAAACAAAACAAAAAACATTTTAAGAAATATTTTTCATATGAAATTAAGCATGCTATTCAGAAAAATCAAACGAGCCACATGTTTGCCCATGACTGATCTAAACTATGCTTAGTAATCATTACAAGCATTAAATTTGTGTACCTTCATAAATATTCTAATATTTTAAAAAGAAAGGAATTGCAAAGAAAAAAAATCATCCTGCTGGTTTGATTGCAACTAGAATTTAGAATTTTAAAAAGTTCAATAACTGCTAAACAGAATGTCTATAATTAAGATGCAATTTTTTTGATCCACATTTTTTTAACCTACTTATTTACAATATACTTTAAAACTTTTTATATAAATAGACATTTTTGATATCCTATTTTTTATAGGGAAAAATAGTCAAACATTAAAAAAAACAAAAAACATTTACATTGAATTGTAAATATTTGAAGAATGCCAAAAATAAACCCACTTAACAGAAAACTCTTTAAAAAGAAAAAAAAAGTTTATAAAGTTTCTGTAAAAAAACGAACTTTAGTGACTTTAGAGACTGGCCCACAATATAGTTTCCATAACAAATAAAAGAATGTCCAGTCATCTTTATCTGCCTATCTACTCACAAGAATACCATAAAAATAACATGCTACAGTACACAGTTCTTGGAAATACACTGACAAATAACAAGTTGACAAATTTATGGGCCCATAAAATGATGAGATTATATTGGAAATCTCATTCTAGTGTCAAGTTTTATTACCAAACAATTACATTCTCTAATTTTTCTTTCTTAATATTTGAAATGGCTGAATGTGAAGACAAGTACTTCTAAATAATAAAAATTTTATTTTTTTTCTACTATATTTTAACAATAGTTTAAAAAGGTAATAAAAAGATTTCAGTGTTAAAAACCAAAACTTGACCCTTAATGAAAATAGATTTAAATCCGTATAATTCCTCAGATAGTTAACATATCTAATTGTTTAAAATTGGTTTCTCACCACCACCCACTTTTTTTAGGTTAGAGCTATGTGTCTTGTTAAACAGTTTATTTTCAGCTAATTTTTATATCTTAAAAGAATGTCTTCATGAAAATAGTTCCACATGACTGGGCTGGTGGAAAAAGAAAGGTTTCAGTTACAAAAAATAGACACAAATAATAATTGTGCAGTACTTTGAGAAACAAAAGTTAACATGCCTGAAATATTAAAACCACCAATGAAAATCTTGCTGACTATTAAATTTAAATCAGTCAAAGTTTTTTTCTTTCATATCTCTCTCTCTCACACACACAAAGGTAGTGGTTGCTGAAAAATTCTGTTAAACTCACTCCACAATCTGAACAAATGATATGACATTCTTTACTAAAGGCCAAGTCATAGTGCAACTCTTGCAAAGAAATACCTGCCTGTTCCAAATCTCGCCATTCCACTGGGAGCAAAGACACTTAGTTTCAGTTTGGGATTTAGTTGGCTTAATAAATATTTGCATTTTATACTTGAAATAACTTTTGCTTAAATTTAATTGAAATAAGTATAAGATTTATTTATTTTTATTTCCTTCAGACTTGCCATATTATTTTTACATTTTCATTGCAAAAACAAACTTTTTTTTTAATTTAACATTTTTCACTTAAAGTTAATTTAATATCCTTCAGCAATATTCTTAATTATTGATTGAACAATGCCCAGCGGATAGGCATTGTTACAGATAGTAGTGGTAATAAACATAAGTTCATAACCCAACTTAATCTTAGAACAGATTATTAAAGCCCTATGGGTAATAGTTTTAATTAATTTAATTTTATGTTTTACGGGACAAAAAGAATCCCTACATGTATATAAACCAGTAAATGTCAGTTTAAGATAAACAGATGTAACAAAACCCAATGAAGATCTGTTAACCAAAACATCAAGAAAGGGAAGAGAAGAATCAATTTCCTTTTCTTGTATAAATTTTAAAGCTGGATGCATATTATTAACAGACAAAAGAAAATGGTCTGCTTCAATCTCATTATCAGAGAGACAAAAGGTGTCATCAATGTAACAGAAATAAATGTCAGATTTATTAGATTTCAATAACACTCTCTTTGTGGAATTTTATTATCACTTTTTGATTTTTGCCGAAATTAAGGTTGGGCTAAATTTAATTTGCCCTTTCTCAAATGATACATTCCACTAAAAACTTTATACTGAACAGAATAAATTATTTAAAAATGGACGTTTAAAAACAATAAGTTGAAATAAAAATGTGTTCTTTGAAAAACAGGGCATACAAATCATTAGAGATTTTTAAAAGATTATTTATAAAATGAAAGCAAGAAATACATTACCTATTAAATGTCTCCATCTTCATTCAGGCTCAGATCTACTCAGCCTGACTAGCTAGGTTAATTTTATTTCATTCTTTTTTTTTTTGTTTTTTTACTTTCTTCTTTATTACGAACAATATCAATGAAATATATTTTGGTCAATATTTTGAGGCACGGAGTTAAAACAATTAATTTGGGATCCAACTGAAGTCAAGAATGAAAACGACGCACCATGAAAAACTTTTGTTGCTTTGAAATACATATACTTAAATATTGACTCAGCCCGACAAGCCCAATCCCTGGAGTTGCTACTGATATACATGTATGCATGTCCATACACGCAAAGTAGAAGTAATCATTTCTATTTTCACTCACCTGTATGAAATCTACGATGTGCTTGCAGGTAATGCTTGGTGCCAAAAGACTTGGGACACAAATCACATTTGTGTGGTTTCTCTCCACTGTGGCTACGGCGATGAGCAGTTAAAGTGGACAAGACGCTGAATCGTTTGTGACACTGTTCACATTGGTAAGGTTTTTCACCTGTATGATATCGTAGATGTATGATCAGGTGTGACTTAATACGGAATGCCTTCTCACAAAGTTTGCATTTGAATGGCTTGGTATGTTTGCGACTATGGCACTCCAATCTGGAACGAGCTTTAAAAGTCTTCTCACAAAATTCACATCGATATGGCATGGTGGAACTGTTTCACTTTGAACTGGAGATGAGATTACACTTCTCTCATATCACAACTATGTGTCATAGAAAAAAAGAAAAGAATAAAAATTGACAATTTATAAAGAGAAAACTTCTTTTTTTCAGTTATAGAAATTAAGAGAAAACAAAAATATAACATGCTTTTTAAAACAAAAACATTGCCAAAGACTGAAGGTAGTTAAAATAAAAGTGATTTCATGGGAAAAACCATCCTTTTTGACACTATTATTTTTGTGGGTAGGAGGTTCATGTTTAGCCAAATTTATTTCTCTTGGTATTAAAACTAAGCGACATTTTCATATCTGTTCACTTGCTGAGAACATGTTGATTGGTGGAAGAATAAAGATGTAAGTTAAGATTTATTTACAACATTTAGTTTGAGACACCTGGTGAGTATCAAACCCTATTACAATAATGGTCTGCAAGACTAGATTGCTAAACCACTGTGCCATTGAGGCACCCAATGAAAGTATTTTTGATGTACAAAAGATTAAACTTGCTAAAAGAAATTTTTGCAAATATGGATAAAAATGTCTGAATTAAGACATAGTTTCAAAAGGACAGTTTTCAAAATGACTGCTTTTTTAAAAACTTTCACTCTTTGGTAATGTTTATGGTTTTAAAAAGCGATGGTTAGAATTATAATGAAACCTAAACATATGAAAGCAAATTTATACATTTTCTATGTTCTTGAGAGTTGACAACAAAAATAATAAACACTATTAAATTGTTTATTTACACTATTTATTTATTATTATTTATTGGAATGGTTGACAAAACATCAGCTACTTGTCAATTAATCCAAATTTGATAAGATGGTAAACAATACGGATTTCCTAATTGTTGGTTTGCATATTTTAATAATTTAGTAATTGTTTATAAATTTATGAATAAAAATTGTTTTCACATTTATTTCTTTATAAATTGATAAATGATAAATATTACATTGCATTAGTTCTAATTTTAGTAACTTTTAGAATGTTGTAAATATAAAATTATTCTTGTAAATAAACAATCTAATAAATAAAAATATTTTTGCTGTAAATTCTCAAGGACAAAGAAAACATGTATAAATTCATTTTCATATGTTTAGGCATTAGTCTAATTCTAATCATTGCTTTTAAAACAATAAACATCGTCAGAGTGAAAGTATTTTTAAAAAAAATGGTGTCATGGGAAAAGCCATCCCTTTAACACTACATTTTTATCAAGATTTGCCAAAATTTTAATAAAAAAATTACAAAATTTAGTGCTGATCATTAAATTATTCATATACTGCTAGAAACATTATTTGGCATGGAGGTGGGTAGAAGGGGGGGAAAAGGACTCAAGCAAAGTGAAGGAATGGTGGAGCAGCACTATTATAATTGGAGTGCAAGAAAAAAAAAACCTTGCCAACATTTACCAGATTTAAATGCAATTGATGGTAAAATACAATCATTATTATTGCTTAATCCCTCCACTTAACTACTATTAGAATTTGCTGTATCAATAGATAACAGGGAGGTCTACTCAAACATGTGCAGCCACTAAATATACCATTTATTGTAATAAGAAATAATGTTGGATTATAAATAACTAGCTGATGTACCCTGTAATTCCTGGGATAGTTCCTGTTCTCATATCCTTTCTTTGGTTATCCAAAAGTAACAATTCAAAGTAAGTAGCCCTGAAAAGGTTTTTTTGTGTGTTCACAGAGAATATAGCCCTTAGGAGGGCTAGTGTTAAATAAATTTACAATAGATGTACACTAACATATAGTTTCACAATTAGACCTGCAAATAGATTTATATACAGATTTACAAATGGAATAATATAAATTAACAAAAGATTTACAACAATGACAAATAGTACAGTTAAATCATAAACACCTGATGATTGGGTGTTTCTCACCAAGTTTGCAGAGCCTCTTGATAAACATTTCAATGTGGGATATAAATAAATGATTGGGATTGCTGAATTTTGAACATCCCACATAAAGTTGGCTATGGGAGAAAACCGGTTCTGCAAGATTAAGGCCTACCATATCCAAGGACTGTTCTTGAGCTTTATTAATGCTGATTGCAAAACTCAGTTTCACCAGAAATTTCAACTGCAAAGTCATATCTGAGGGAATAAATTAAATTTTAGGAATAAAAACAGCCTCACTGCTTGCTTTACCACTTAGAATTGTCACCACCAAGACTATTGGCATCACCATCTTAATTGTAAGTTGTGCGCCATTGCAAAGTTTTGGTGGATTCAGATTTCTTAGCAGCATCACTGGTGCATCTAATATTGAGGCACAAATTGTGAGGCGGGAGAACTGCTGGTGTTAGGCTATTCAAAAATTCAACTGGATAATTCACAGCTTCACCTACAGTTAGTACAGTGTCAATGGAATTGTAGCTGCAATGTTCACCTGGCAACTGTTCCAGAAATTTGATGTTCAAATCATGAACTTTGGAGCTAAAATGGCACAGGTTCTCAGCCAATTGTGGTCTCTAAACTGATTTCTCAGGTTAGGAAAGACACTAGTCATTAGTTCCTTTAAATGAGATACCATACATCCAAAAAGCAAATTGACTCAGCAATCCTGCTCGTCAACCAAAGTGCCATTACCAACATCCAATAGGTGCTTAGAAAAAGTACCAGATTCCTCATCACCACTGTGATGTTGGTTGTGAGTAGAGTTGGCTGGTTTCGCAATTTATGCGTCAGTATTGGTTTCTGTTTTTTTCCCCCTTGATATTGCAGTTTTTGATTTGACTTTTTGGTTTTTAATTTTGTGTTTTTGATTTTTAAGGAAGCCATTCATTTTCCTGTGTAATGATAGCATTTCCAGTCGATATCTGATTTTGTCTGAGATTGATAAATTTGCAACTTAGTTCATTCAACATGCAATTTTTTGTGTATTTCTGGTCCAATCTTAAAAATATTCATATGGCTGGAAAGAAAATAAAATAATCTTTCTAAATATGTAATTTGTATGTGCTTTTATTTATTGGATTATTTTTTACAGTGAGTTAAAATGGTATTTTGCTTTGAACAGCTGAAAATGCAAATTTTATTTTTTAGACTAAATTTTACATATTACTTTGTTTCACAAAATCAAAGTGACCAATCTTTATCAATATTCTTGAAATTGTACACTCAATTAGAAGACATCTTAAACTACAACCAGGAAGATGTTCATTTCTTCTGAACTGTAGAAATAAAAAAAATTGATGTGGTTTCGTGGTGTGAAGATGAAACCAAAAAAAGTTGGTTTTCCAATTAAACTGCCCATCTCTAGTTGTAAGTCTCAGCTTTTTCACACTGCTCCACAGGTAGGAAAACTTTATACTGGCGTTTACCTCTTCAGCACTTGTCCCTTTTGACATCACCGAAAAGGTGTCTAAAGCCTCTCACAAGCAAGACTATTGCACCTCCCATGAGTCTAAGATCCTGAAGTGCTGTATCAAGAGCCTCAAAGGAACCCTTATGGCTCATTGTTGCCTCATCCCAGATGATCACTTTGCAATCACTGAGGTGTTTGGCTTTTTATAGAACCACGACTGATGTTGCAGGTTACCTTCTCTTTCTTGAACACCCAATATCTAAATGAATTTGGCTGATAAAAAAAAAAATCTATAAATTATATACAAATTTCAATATTGAATATGTGAAAGGTTTAAAAAACAATTCTTACAGAAAAGATCCACAACCACAATATGTCTTTTTAAGGGTATGTTGAAATATGAGCTTAGGTAAAGTTTCTATTTGCAAATATACTCAATTTAAATGTTACTTTATGTTTAAATGATTGAGTGGACTGAGCCAATTTCTTTGTATGTAATAAATTCGAATCTGGCGAATTTAATGATGCATATGGCAAAATTTGGAGCAAATTCCTTTTTTGGCAATGTAAATACACTATGGAGATCGTATTTAAAGAAAGATTATGCTGAATTAATATGTTAAATAAAGATTTTATTTAGAAAATAACCTGCAATTCGTTCAGATGTTGTCCCCTAAATTTTTAAGATCAAACAAAGATCCATATCTGTCTAGAATCTTTATAAGAGTTATGATTTCATAACACGTGTATCTTAATTTCTAAAAAGTTTACAAGACCAATTATCTCCCTTGCATAAACAATGATAAACAGCGTTTCATGTAGACCCAGCAGTGATCTGCAATCTGGGGCCCTAGTGGTGCGATTATAGATTTTTATTAAAAAAAACAATTAACCTAGTGACAAACTGGATGTATGCAAAGTTTCATCAATATTGGTTCACAGGTTCAGGTGGCAATTTAATTCAGACAGACAGAAATTGCCATTTATACACACACACACACATTTTATATATATATAATCATTAGAAATTACTTTGTTTCAGGCACAAAAATAAAGTAAGCAGATATGGGTTTTGAAAGGCCCCAGCAAGATATGTGCATTTCTTAAAAAGACTAACTAAACCTTGTTTTACTGTGAAGACTTTCATGGTTTGTGGGCTAAAGCACACCTCGCTTAAATCTATATAACAGTAGATGCAGGTTTGAACCCTACTAAAAGGCACATTTTCTTTATTAAAGATTCTTGAACACCCAGGCCACTAAAAGTTAATTACACCACTTTAAAAACAGGGATATGAAAGTTTTGATATATTTGTTCAAAGAAATTTTACCCCATATATCATGAGTTATATAAATAGTTAATTCACCCTAAGCAAGATGATAATGCCACTAAGATACAAGGAGCCACTGGGAGTGAAAGAGAATGAGAAGACTTTAGAAGGTACTGGGAATCTTAAACATGAAACAAGGGATAAACTGTTCAAAAGACTTGGGAGGGGTTTGAAATGGATGCTAGACAAACCTATCTACTCCAATTCAAAGAAAATAAATAAATAGTAAATAAAATCTCAGAGTTTAGTTGGAGACAGTAGAAGTATTGAGCTGAAGTAAACTTTAGAAGAAACCAGAAGCAAGGAATAAACATCTACTCCTGCTCAAAA